ATAAATAATATAAATAATATAAATAATATAAATAATATAAATAATATAAATAATATAAATAATATAAATAATATAAATAATATAAATATACATATATACATATACATATACATAAGTATAAGTATCACACACACACTGTATTTTTTGGAGTATAAGACACACTTTTCCCCCCCTAAGAGGGTGAAAATTTGGGTGTGTCTTATACACCAAATGTAGCCCCGCCCACCTGTCAGCCCCACCCTTTGGCCTCTGCCGCCCTCCTTCTGTTCCAGCTGGTGGGGATTAGAATGGGTGGAAAATGGGGTGCACAAAGGCCGAAAAGTGGGCATGCGGAGGCTGAAAATGGGGCGCGCGGAGGCGGCAATGGCAATCCCTGCAGCCTGAAACAGCTGATTATCGGGAGGCTGATCCAACCGACAATCAGCTGCTTGTGCTAATCAGGCTGTGCTGAAACTGAAACAGGCAGTTTGCTGTTGGCTGCAAGGAGGCAAATTGCTGGGAGGCAGAGGGAGATTTTTTTCTCTTGCTTTCCTCCCCAAAAGCTAGGTGCGTCTTATACTCCGAAAAATGAAATTAAGGTCCTCTTCTTCCATTTAATGCCGCCTTGTGCTTAGTTTGAATAATTTAATTTAATTGGAGAGTCCTGATTCCTAAGTCTTTGGGTGCAGGGATGCAAATGTTATTGTAGTTAAACCAAAAATCGAATGAAGGCAAGAGGTTTTGCTTAGAAATCTCTCACTCTGAGGGACTTTACCTTGGTGAGCAAATATTTGTTTTTCTGCAAAGCGGCACAAGCACAGAGAAACCAGCAATCTCCCAGCATGCCTTGCTTGACCTGCCATTCATGTTGATTGTCGGAAAATAAGCGAGGTGAAGAGCAGATCTCCTGGTGGGGAAGAAAAATAGAATTTAGAGAGGAAACATGCTATGTTTGCAATGTATTTTTCTCCCTTCCTTCCTTCTTCTCTTTGCTTCTCTCCCTCCCTCTGTTTCCTTTACAATACAATACAATACAATAGCAGAGTTGGAAGGGACCTCGGAGGTCTTCTAGTCCAACCCCCTGCCTAGGCAGGAAACCCTTTCTTTCCTTCCTCCTTCTTTCCCCTCTCCCTCTCCTCTCTCTCCATTCCCTCTTTCTTTCCTTCCTTCTCTCCCTCCCTCTTCCTTTCTCCCTTTTTATTTTTTCCTTCCTTCTTTCCCTCCCTCCCTTCCTTCCTTCTTCTCCTTGCTTCTCTCCCTCTCCTTCCTTCCTTTCCTTCCTCCCTCTTCCCCCTTCCTCTCCTTCTCTCCCTCCCTCTTCCTTTCTCCCTTTTTATTTTTTCCTTCCTTCTTTCCCTCCCTCCCTTCCTTCCTTCTTCTCCTTGCTTCTCTCCCTCTCCTTCCTTCCTTTCCTTCCTCCCTCTTCCCCCTTCCTCTCCTTCTCTCCCTCCCTCTTCCTTTCCTTTCTTCCTCTTTTTTCTTTCCTTCTTTCCTTCCTCCCACTTGTTCTTCAATTCCTCTTTCCTCCCTCCCTCCATTCCTTCCTCTCCCGCCCTCTCCTTTTCTTCTTTCCTTCCTCCCTCTTCCCCCTTCCTCTCCTTCTCTCCCTCCCTCTTCCTTTCCTTTCTTCCTCTTTTTTCTTTCCTTCTTTCCTTCCTCCCACTTGTTCTTCAATTCCTCTTTCCCTCCCTCCCTCCATTCCTTCCTCTCCCGCCCTCTCCTTTTCTTCTTTCCTTCCTCCCTCTTTTCCTCCCTCCTTCTCTCTCCATTCCTCTCCTTCTCTCCCTCCCTCTGCTTCCTTTCCTTCCTCCCTCTTCCCCCTTCCTCTCCTTCTCTCCCTCCCTCCTCCTTTTCTTTCTTCCTCTTTT